GAGAGCGGAAGGTCGGGTCCCCAACGGGGTGGGGGACAGGGCGGGCCCCGGGCCGCCGGGGTCCCTCCCTCCTGGCAGCGCTCACTCACCGCGCTCTGCAGTCGTCCCGGGCGCGGCCTGGCTGGCGGCGGGGGCTGGGCGGGGCCTAGTGGTGGCTGCGGATGCTCCGCGGCGCTGAGCTAACCGGACGCCTTCCCCGCGGCGGCTGCTGGGTCCCTCCCAGGCACACGGCAGAGGAAGAGGCTTTGAGGCCGAGCCCGGGGGTGCAGGCGCACGAGTCGCAAGGGGAGGGGGCGGAGGGGGTCCGGGAGCTCCGTGAACCGGGTTACGTGCCCTACGGAGGAGGGCGGAGCCGGAGGGAGGGCCTGCTGGTAGCGGGGAGTCGGCAGATGCAGGAGGAGGGGGAATGCAGAGCCTGTGTGCCCACCCTTGGACCCCCGCAAACGGAGGGAGGCAAAGATGCCTGCACAAAAGGGGGTCTTAGGTTCCCAGCATCAAATCTTGCCTAACGGCCAGATGCGGTGGCTCAGGCCTGTGATCCCAGCACTTTGGGAGGCCAAGGCATCGGGATCAGCCTGGACAACATAGCCAGACCTCATTACTCAAAAAAAAAAACAAAAACAAAAAAACGTGGTGGCACGCTCCTGTAGTCCCAGCTACTCAGGAGGCTGAGGTGGGGAGATTGCCTGAGCCCAGGAGGTCGAGGCTGCGGTGATCCATGATCCTGACACTGCACTCCAGCCTGGGCCACAGAGGGAGACTCCAACTCAAAAAAGAAAAAGCAAATTCTTGCCTATATAGGAAGAGCTGTGGACCAAGAAGGAGTCAGTACACTGTGTTAGCTGGAGGCCTCCCAGGGAGGCCCCTGGTTCTGTTCACCTGCCTCCTTGGCCCCAAATGAAATAGCATCTTCGCTTCCCACCTAGACCAGTCCCTCTCTTTGCCTGACCCCACAGTAGCATGCCTGAGATACCCTAGACTGCCCAGAGGTGGTCTCCACAAACTCAACCCACTAAAGCCCTGATCTGCGGGCCTCAGGGTAGCAGGAACAGGAAGCAAACATTTGAAGAGTGAGTCATCACGAGTGATCTTGAGAAACAGCGGCTCTCCAGTTTCCACGTCTGTGTGATACCGCATGGGGTGTGGACAGTTAAGAGCAGTTACTTGCCCGGCCCGGTGGCACACAACCTTAATCTCAGCATTTTGGGAGGTGGAGGCAAGAGGATTGTCTGAGCCCACGGGTTTGAGACCAGCCTGGGCAACATGGCAAGACCTCGTCTCTACCATAAATCAAAAAATCAGCCAGGCATGGTGGCACATGCCTGTGATTCCAGCTACTTGGAAGGCTGAGGTGGAAGGATCACCTGAGCCCAGCAGGTCAAGGCTGTGGTAGCTGTGAGTGTGCCACTGCACTCCAGCCTGGGTTATAGAGTGAGACTCCAACTCCAAAAAAAAGAATGGATACCTTACCTAGCTGGGCACGGTGGCTCAAGCCTGTAATCCTAGCACTTTGGGAGGCAGAGGCAAGAGGATTGCCTGGTCCCATGGATTTGAGACCAGCCTGGGCAACTTGGTGAGACTTCATCTCTACAATAAATTAAAAAATTAGCCAGGTGTGGTGGTGCATTCCTGTAGTTTCAGTTACTTGGAAGGCTGAGGTAGAAGAATCGCCTGAGCCCAGCAGGTCGAGGCTGTGGTGGCCGTGAGCATGCCACTGCACTCCAGCCTGGACAACAGAGACTCCAACTGAAAAAAAAAAAAAAAGCGGTTACCTGTTCCAGAGGACAGCACCCTGGCCCCAAAGCCGTCGTCTCCAAGCTGGTCCTGGAACCCAGACGCAAATAGGCAGTGCCTCTGTCCTGGGAGGTCAGCCGCTTCAGGATGATGACGAGGTGCTGGAACTGCCCCCCCACTGACTTCCTAATAAACTGAGTTCCTTAATCAGAAGCAATATTGTTTGAGTGACATGGTGGTGAATGGGGCCATTCAGCTTACACACAGAGGCTGATGTTGGCAAGAGTGCAAAGGGCAAGAAAAGCAAATAACAAGACCAGAGTTATTTATTCCAGGGAGGAAAGACATATTGCCCAATCTATCCTGGAAGGGGTCCAGTGTCTTCCTCGGTTGCCCAGGTATTTGGCTGGTTTTCCTAGGATGCTACCACACGGGGGTCTCGCAACCAAAGCCACCAGCAAGGTGGGCACTCGTCAGGGTCACAGCTGGCTTAGCCTTGGTGAGGCAAGTTCATGTAGAGTCCACCATGGCCATGTTGCTCGCAAGCCCCTGGAGGCAGTGCTGAGGAGGCTGGATAAAGAGGCTGTTCCCAGGCCACCAAGTGGTCATCTGGTCTACCAAATGGCACAATAGCATTCTCTGTGATAGAGGCTTTTGGGAGAGAGTTCACTAAGGATACAGTTCAAGAACTGTTTTCCAACCAGGCTTGGTGGCTCATGCCTGTAATCCCAACACTTTGGGAGGCTGAGGTGAGAGGATTACCTGAGTCCAGGGGTTGGAGACTAGCCTAGGCAACTTGGCAAGACCTCATATCTACAATAAATCAAAATATTAGCCAGGTGTCATGGCATGTGCCAGTGTTTCCAGCTACCTGGAAGGCTGAGGCAGAAGGATCACCCGAGCCCAGAAAGTCGTGGCTGTGGTAGCCATGAGCGTGCCACTGCACTCTAGCCTGAGTGATAGAGTGACACTCTCACTCAAAAAAAGCCAAACCAAGCCAGGCTCGGTGGCTCAGCCTGTAATCCCGTGCCTTTGGGAGACTGAGGTGAGTTGATTGCCTGAGCCCTCAGGTTCGAGACCCACCTGGGCAGCGAGACCTCATCTCTACAATATATCAAAAAATCAGCCGGGCGTGGTAGCGCATGCCTGTAATTCCAGCTACTTGGAAGGCTGAGGCGGAAGGATTGCCGGAGCCCAGCAGGCAAGGCTGTGGTGGCTGGGAGCGGCCACTGCACTCCAGTCTAGGCGACTGAGTGAGACTCCAACTCAAAAAAATAAAAAACCAAACCAAAACTGTTTTCCACTGAGATCTCCCAGGTTGTCCAGACTGGTCTTGAACCCCCGGGTTCAAGTGACACTCCCACCTCAACCTCTCAAAGTGCTGGGATTACAGACCTGAGCCACCATGCCCAGTCCACTCCCAACACTTCTGACATCAAATGCATGAGGTTTTTTTCACACCAATAACCAAGTCTCCTACTCTCCAGACAACAACTGGGTGTCCGACGACTGGATTCAATTGTAAAGTAAATACCCAGAGTTAGCATCAGGCCCTGCAGGTGAAAGACTGCCCCAACGTCAGATGCCAGTAGCAAGTCTCAAGTCTCTGTACTCCTGACCTATTAACTATTGGGAGTTCCAAGACCCCCTGTCT